AGTTTTAATTTTATTCAATGATAACCAGTAGCATCAATAATTAGACTAACGATATTCAAAACTGGCTGATAATTGTAATATTAGATTAGGTCAATACAAATACTTCAAAACGTATTTGGGCATTTAATCAATTATTCTTGAAGAATTGTGGTATTTCTAGTAATACACACTTATGGTTCAAAAGTTATTTATAGAATAAGTTGAAGTGAACTGAAATAAATAATAATGTACGTTTGAAAACTATACCGAGGAGAGATACAGACATATTAATAAGTGAATATTTCGAAATAAAATCCGAAACACTCATCTCTACCAACGTACCTACACAGTAGGTTCTGGTATGTGATAGCCGGAAAACAAACTTCTTACCCAGCTAATACCACGCTGGACATTGATTCTTTGACTGTCCATAAAAAGCAACTACAATGAACAATAAACTTGTATTGAGACCTATCTCAAACTAACACGGTCCAAATTGTATAATATAATAATAATAATAATAATAGATGGGCATAGAGGTTCCTGACAAAAGGTGCAGGGCCTGCCGCGAGGAGTCCGAGACCATAATGCACTTGCTATCAGCGTGTCCAGCATATGCGGACTCGGCCTATATCCATCGACATAATGCGGCCCTAAGAGTGCTATATTACCATCTACGGCACTATTACGGTATTGACGAGACACCGGTGTTGCCCTACGCTCCGGGGATATTGAATCCGTTGTGGGAAACGAGAAGTGCCGAAGTTTTCATCTTCTGGCGAGACGAATATCGTCCGAAAAGAAGAGGAAAAACGGATAAAATATTGAGATTTTCTCTTCGAACTCCGCAGAGTCTATCCAGACCATTCTGTCAAGATGGTTGTTCTGTTTATTGGATTCCTTGGTGGAATGATGTCCTCTCAACTCTCGAATCTTAAAATCATACCGGCTTGCCGCACTAAGGCAGAAATCTTAGCCGGACAGATGCAGAAGGCTGTCATTCTTGCCTCACTGCGCTTGCTCACGGCACATGATTCTCGGGCTCAATGATCACCTACACCACGGTGTGGGGAGTGGTCGTTGGTTGATAATGCTGGCGCGCCCTCCCGAATGTATCGGGGCTTCGGGGGATAGGGCTTGACCAGTGCCAATTACGGTGAAAAAAAAATAATAATGATAATAATGATAATCCGATAATACGAATATTGAATCCGTTGTGGGGAACGAGAAGTGNGAACATGTAAAAATTCCCGTTGTATGTAGGATATTCATCAAGTTTTGAAAATGGTATTTTTTTGGTGAAAGCAAATCGCAGTGTTATTTTTTTTAATTTTAACTGGAAAGAATGTTGTTTTGTAATTCAAAAAATGCATACTGACAATTCAAAATCGAAACGAGAGATTTTCAATATATGAAAATACAACCATTTCCGCAAGAAATGGGCCTCGAGAATTTTTTATTCAACCCCGACGTTCAAACTGTTCAAACACATAATAGTGTAATAATCTGTGCATTTTCGAGAAGTAGAAAATGGTGTGCAACATTCATATTCATACTTCGAAAATAAAAAGTTCCAAAAATATTTCTAAACGTCCTAATACCAACTGAATTATAGTATTTTTGTTATCATATTATATGAAACGACGTGAATGTGGACAATTCACAGTCACAATCAATACACAGTCCAAATGAAGGCTATTTGAAATATACGTTCAATTTTTTTTCAAGTTAAAAAAAAAATCGTAAAATCAATTGGGAAATATAAAATTCACTATTTTCTGACGAATTCAAGTGGGAATAGCATAATGACAATTGTCACATAATGAACTAATTGAATAGTAAAAATTTCCGAGACCAAAATTGGGTTAAAATCAAAAATATACTTTGTGATTGAAGACTGTATCGAGGAGAGATACATACATACTAGAAAATAAATATTTCGGTAAATATTGGTACACGCTTTGTGCAAAGGTACATGAGATGTTTCTTCTCCGCTTGGGTATTTGTTTACGAGTTAACAACGTCTAAATTGGTAACAAATTGCCAAAAACGACTCTCCTCGATAGGAAGACTTAACGAATTGCCTCTGGTCTGGATTCCTGGCCATACCGGCCTGGAAGGCAATGAGGCTGCTGACTCCCTTACAGAAGAGGGTCCTGCAAGCAGCTTCATCGGACCAGAACCTGTCATTGGCATCGGCAGAGCCGTACTCTTACCAACTGACTTGAAAGACCACTCACCATACAAACTAATCGGCTTCGTTAAGAAGCTGGGTTCATTTGGTCGAGTGTGAATAGGTATGAGCCACAATAAACCTTTGCGGATTGCGGTGGAGGGTCGAATAGACCCACTCAGATTGGACCTAACCTAACATAACCCTAACAATCTATCTCTCAGACGAAGGTTTCATACATGCAGTCGTGGCACGTTGAAATTAATCGAGTTACACACATTGCTGTTTGCTACTGATGAAAGGTAATACCTCAAAACTGCTCTGGAGATAATTTCAGCATGCAATTGCTGTTGGATCAACCAAAAACATCTATGAGACTAACCTCGGCAGGTGTCTTGGATAAATGTCTGTCGGCTATGATTCAATATCAAGCGTGGTATCAGCTGGGGAAGTAGTTGTTTTCCGATGTGCATTTACTAAAACCTACGGTGTAGGTAATTGGGAGATGAATATTTCTGGATTTTATTTCGAAATATAAATTTTCTAAAAATACTTTTAATTTAAAATAAAATATTTGTTCAAATTTAAGGGTGGAAGTTTTGATTTTCATCCCATTATCCCATGGCTTTTTAAAGTAATATTTCAATTATTAGATTTACCTGAGTATTACATAAGAAAACATTGTAAAATTAATTCAAGACTAGTAGAAGATAAGGCAATATTGTGAAATTAATTCAAGACACTCAAGACTCAGGTACCTAGAAAAGAGGTACCAGGTACCTATGGTATAAATAAGGACAACTTTGTAAATAGGATTAGTTTGATCTTCCTTTTGAAGATAATCACTCGGTGATCGAAACACGTGTCGAGGTGTTAAAATAACGGTTTGGTGTTGGGAAAAACCTCAAGTAATATCCATTATTCAAGCCAAAATACATTTAAATTTTTCAGTAGAAGTAATTTTTTATTAGTAGCCTTCGTAAAACTACTTTCAAATCTATTAAAACACTTCTCCCATTTTTTTCTGATGTGGGAAAAATGTTTTAAAACGGTTTCATTTAGCTTGACCTGTTTGTTTGGGTCAATTTTAGCAACTAAACTCTGACCCCCTTCCTGTAGACAGACTGATCTGATATTTGGTACCTACACACATTTAGTTTTGATGAAAATGCAATTTACTAAATTCTGTATCATTGTAAATCCAATATGGTCGCAGGTACAAAATGACGGATTATATATTACTTTGTAATTATTTCATGCCAGAGGTGCAAATTAAACAAGTCTATTTCATCAGTTCGGACTTCCATTGCCTAATATAATATAAATTGATTTGAAATCCCTAAAAGAAATTAAAAAGATTTACCGAAAAATAACAATTTTTTAAACAAAAAACTGAACAAGCAAGAACCAAAAAGTTTAAAAAATATGAAAAGTTAATACAAGCTGAAAATTAAAAAAAATAATATTTACAAGAAATGAAACTAGACATTAAAAGATTCTAAACCAAGTAACGTAACGACGTTTCGATTGTTAGTATCCACAATCGTCTTCTGATAATAACTGGACTTATTCCTCCGAGATCTGACTATTTATAGGTCATTCGAGTGCTTTCACCTATCCCCTCTTCCCTCTCTCCGCTCCGTTGGTTTTAGCGGGAGATGACCGTTTGGCGGGAGATAACCGTTTGGCGGGAGTTGGTAAATTTCCGTTTGATTAGAGGTTTCCATATGTTACGTATCTCTAGGCTAGCTTGGCTAAATGCGGACAACGTATACGCGGCTTCTTTGAATTTTCTCCTAAACCAGTGTTCCTCGTGGATGATTTCAGCTTGAGTCCACTTGATGTTATGTTGACGAGTCCAAACATGCTCTGCTATTCCGGATTTGCTGGTTTCTCCTCGCTGTGCGTGTTTCTCGTGCTCAGCAATACGAACTTTCAATGGTCGGTTTTTTTGGTTGCTGCTTGTATGTTATTTCTTTGTAATTTCAGTTTTTTGTTTAATAAAATTGTTATTTTTTAGTTAATTCATTATAGATTTTTTCAGGGATTTCATATCAATTTATATTATATTAGACAATGGAAGTCCGAACTGATGAAATACAACACGAAACATTGTCAACCACCTTCAAACAAAAGTTAACAAGTCTACTTCAGAAGACCATCTTGAAAAATAATTTTTTCACAAAATTTCCCTGCAGTTATACAAAACTATCAGAATAATAATAACTTTTCATTCAATTTTTATTATTATTCAAAAATACTAAACTGGAGTTCTCGACAAAATACGCGTTCGAAATAAACTTAATGTCAGACTGTACCTAATCAAAAACCCAAACGCATAATCTTTTCTACCTACTTCTCATAAATTTCTTGGAAAATGTCCTTGAACCTGCCGTCGTATTTCTTCAATATGGTGTTCTTTGTCGATAGATATAAGGGCCAGCCCTTCTGAAGGGCTACCTGGAAGGAGGCATGGGCGAATGACTGGATGCTCTCGTCTGTGTTGTACATTCCTTGTGCCACGCCACCGTTTTTGTAGTGGAATAATTGATATTTCTTTATCTCTCCATCGTCTGCGGTATAAACAAGTTCAACCTGTGAAAAAAATGTTTTTGGAGTACATGAGTGATAATAAAGAATATATGAACAGTTGTATACCGGGTGTGTCAACAACGCGAATTTGCGATATATCGATGATGCTAATACGCTGTCTATTAAAAAAATAAGAAGAATTTTCAGTTTTCTCAAAACTATTCATTCATTCATCAATTTCTATTTTGCCCCCTTCGAAGTAGTCCCCACCAGATATAATACACTTGTGCAAGCGTTTTTTCCAATNAAATATTCATTTATTCATGAATTTCTATTTTGCCCCCTTCGAAGTAGTCCCCACCAGATATAATACACTTGTGCAAGCGTTTTTTCCAATTCTGGAAGCAGTTCTGATATGCACTTTTTGACATGCACTCAAGCTCTCCCAGCAATTCATTCATAAATTCACAAAGTTGTCGTTGACCCCGAAACGGAGTGCGGAGCCAATTTCGTTCTTTTACCATAGGCGTGCGCTAATATAAAATCGAAATTTAAAGATATTATAGAAGATTTTGTGGTAAGTTACTTATAACTAATTGCAAAAACTAAAAACAATAATAACAACAGAGAATAAACTAAACAAAATATCAATTTCCGACCGTTTATTATTACTAATCAAATGCCCGTGGCACCGTCGAATCCTTCGATACTACAGCACACACAGCGTTGGATAAGAATCTCATCCGAAGAGCGGCTGAAGGTCCCCAGCAACTCGGGCGGATCACGTGGTAATACAGCCTACTGGTTGTATTATTCTACTGTGCAAAAGCTATGAATTGTTTTTCTACAATACCGGATGTTTTCTTCTTATTGATTCTCGCAACCGTTGCATAACTTCGAGATAATATTCCTTACTACCCGTGCGACCATACGGCAAGAACTACTGATGCACTTCGCCGCGGTTATCGAAGAAAGCAGTGAACAAAACCTTGACATTTGATCGAACTTGGCGTGCTTTTTTGGTCTTGGCCTGGGCTCTTCCATTGAAACGATTGGACTTTGGTTTCGATGTCATAACCATATACCCATGATTCGTCACCAGTTATGACCCTTTCAAGCAAATCTGAATCGCCGTTGACGACTTTCAACAATTCCTGAGCAATGCTCATGCGACGGCTTTTTTGGTCAAAATTTATCAATTTTGGAATGAACTTTGCTGCCCCACTTCTCATGCCCAAAATATGGCAAGAGCCAACCAATATGCCGACTTCCTCAGCAAATTCTCTGGTAGTGATTCAACGATTCTCCATAACTATTTTCTCCACTTTCTCAACATTTTCATCACATAGTCATCCACATCTTCTCGACCTTCTGTGAAAAGCTTGGATCACTTGAAAACATTTTTCTGACTCAGAATACGATCACCGTATGCCACTGTCAACATTTCAAGTATTCTTGAGCGCTCAGTTCCATTTTTTACACAAAACTTGATGCAAATTTTTGATCAATATGTTCGATTGCAGTAATTCGCCGAACACGCAAAACACTTCTAACTTTCATGCATCTCACCAACAAACTAAACATGCTCAACAGTTAAAACTGTGAACATATGTTCCGAGACAAGTGTACCAACATAAAAAATTGAATGTAAATAGCCCGCGAAATTTAAACAGTCCACGTACAGTGCGAAATTGAAATGTGCCCCTTGTTAACTTTTGAAGGGAACGAGGTCGGAGAAAGTTTACGGATAAAAGAATAGTTTTTTGGACTTTTTGATAAGAAAGACATTAGTGTTGGGTCGCTCGTCATAGAGAAGGCGCTACCAACTATTATTTTAGTGGACACCTCATTTGATACCTCTTACTCTGTCATGAGTTCTGGTATGGTCTGTGGTTGTGTAACACATACTTTAGATTTCACGAAATTCCACAAAAAAATCTAAAGGCAGCTGCCTATCTACCGATTTTCCGTGGGTTGGGCTACCTATCGGGAGAGTCCCCAGGTGGTGGATAGGGGAACGGCCAGGGAACTGTAGGCCCTGTCCGAGAATCCAATGTGGCCTTACGGACGGGGTCGCCGGACCCCTGGTCAGTGGCAGAAATAAGTAGGGTGGAGGGAACTGAAACTCCTTAAAAGCCTTTGCAAAACATGCCACCGTGGATAAGCCTACCCAAGCTAAGGTATAAATAAGGTCGTGCTGACAGCTGAATGGCCGCAAGGTGATATGCTGTTATGAACGATCCCCTTGGGGAACTGGTCGTTGTAATCAGAAAATCTCTGGTAATGCGGGGCTCTGCCAGATGTGATCAACTCTTCCATTGCTACTCGTGGGAACACACATGAATGAAACAAGCACAAAGACAGAAACAACAAAAACAAAAACCAATCCCGAGGCTGGACAGAAGTTTTCACCTCAATCTACGGCGGTGGCTGGGGATGAACAGAAATGTCCACCCCAATCTACCGCTTGGAATGAGGCTTGACACAGCAGATCACCTCGTGATGTAATACAAAGGCCAAGGCATAAGCGCATTTGCGGTGCCGAGGCCAAAAGGAGAAAGGGAGCGAAAGAAGCAGAAGTGGCAGCAACTATAAGTGCACCTTCCTCCTTCCCCACTCCATCTTCTTGCGGCGGGCGCCAAGAGTTCCGCCTTGAATAAAGGCAAGGAACCGGCTGCCCCTGCAGGAAAGCTCCCTCATTTGTGCACCTCCACGGAGGGAACCCCAAGAAGGTTGAAGAAGCCGCGCAACGACAGTAATGTCGCTGCACCTTACAGAACCTTCGCGGAGGCCACCGTGAGACACCTCAAGGTTGCCAAAGAGAGTGTGTGTTCGGCGAGTCCTGGCCTACACCTTCCAATATAAAGGAGATGTCCTAGTGACCTGTCCACCTTCCTGGAAAGACAAGATGGACGATGACCTAGGAGGAAAACTCCTCGGGAGGATGTACAATTGCGTCACATGTGACCTAAGTGCTGTGGGTCTACGCTTACCCTCTCTACTATACAGATCCACCGATTTGGATAACTGGCAACTAGACACATTTAAACTAGCTTGTCATGATGAGGAGATACCTCATCTTGCTGGAAGATAACATCATTTGAAAACTCATCTGGGACTATCAATTATCAAAACCGGTAGATATAGGTGGTGGAAAGTGGTACTTTGAAATGGCCTGTTTTTTTCTCCCGACATGATGCCTCTAGATATTTTTGAGTGGGTACTTGACATTGTAAACTGTACGCTATAACACCGCGGTCCATTTAATAACTCGTGGATAGAAAAAAGAAGTGCTTGCAACGAAATTGGAAGTTGTAGTGTACTACAGTACAATAAATATCCACAATAAACTTTACATCTGTTCAAATCGATGCCTTGTATGATACATTGTATCAAAATATATTTTTTGTGTGCACACACTTGGGACACTGTGTAACAGGCAGTTTAGATACTTCAATTTCTTGATGTATTGCCAAAAATGTAACTCGTCTTTCTACATTCAAACTAAGAAAAAAAAAATGGTGATAAGTAGTCATTGATTAGTGAATAGTGGTCAATACAATTAGTTTTTCATCAACTAATTTTTCCTTTATAACATCATGAAATGGCATGCAGTTGAATGACAGTAAAGCTTACCTTTCCAGGTTTGGTGACCACAAAATCTTGAGCTTTGTATTGATCTCCATGAGCATGACGACCGATAATAATTGGGTTCGTCCAGCCAGGCACTAACTTTGGAATGTTTTTACATAGAATTGGTTCCCTGAAGACTGTCCCACCAAGAATGTTTCTAATGGTACCATTTGGAGACAGCCACATTTTTTTAAGTTTGAATTCTGAAATAGTTTAGTTATTAGATTCAGGGTTTCATCAGAGTAAGTTTCCAGACTTTGAGACCGAGAATAAAATGGAAAGAGAAAGAAGACTACAAGTACTGAAGTACCCGGAAAAGTTAAACTAATCTAAACAAAAATCGATGAAATTGAGAACAAATACTCAAGATATCTCAAAAAATACTAAAAAATATATTATTATTGACGAAATTTCGGTAGTGTCCGTCGTTTCGTCTACGACTGCGGTATCCATTATCAAAGGTGTTGAAGCAATGGACGAACTACTATTAATATCTAGGAAGGTTAGAACTACGGAGATGAATAGCCAAATTGAATGGAATAATAAAATTATAACAATTTCTTTTTCTTGATCCAAAGTAGATATCAAAACCTAAGAATTTCATTTGAAATTTCTCTTCTTATTACCTTCTACTCTTTGCTCATCTGGTGTGATAGTGGCACACTTGATTCCTACATTATGTTTTAGAATTGCATATGCTGCATCGATGGTCACTTGATCGTTAGTTTGATCCCTGGAAAATCACAGATTAATATTCAATCAGTATTGAGAATTTTTTTCATCACCGTTCACTGTTTTTCTTGTAAATTTCTTACTTTATTTGCTTGCTATCATAATCCAACCCATTAACAAACGAATCATTAGGTTATAGCAGACCAATCAAACGAATCAAAAATAATTATCTTATCGAAAACGCTCATACCTTAGCTGATTTGTTATAATACAAAATATTGAACCAAATAATGATCATACTGTTTTCATGAAAAATAGCGAATCACCCCTGTAAATAGTTTTTTCCTGATCGAAAAACATATTTTCATCAGGGTTCGACAAGGTGTCAATAAATTTGGTGAAAAAGTGCTTACCAGCTTTATTGAAATCTTTAGTTTTTTTGGTTAATTCATCTTTCAATACCGGAGTTTTCCCACATCTATTGAGTATTAAAAATACTCCAGTTCATAATAAGAAAAACATCTTGATACAAAAAATAGTTACTTATTTTAAAATTGATTACTTCCTTTCCTTGGAAGATTCCCTCATCCTTGTTTTTTGTATCAATATGGAGTAGTAGAGAGCCAAAAACTTTCTTTCCCAAAAATTAATCACTCCAAAAAATATAACTTCTTCAATTCAAGAAAAACATCTTAAAACTCATTGATAATAATCGTCCTGTAATAGAACCTTGTAGCTTTTTTAAGGTTTTTGAGTATAGCCACTTACATCGGCTCAAGACTTTTGTTGAAAAATAGAAAAATTATAACAAATAGCGGGCCTGAAGCAGACGAATGTCCTGTTGGGATATTTTACGTTCTCAGCAGAGCATTCGACTGTTTTAATCTGTGTTAGATACTCTATACAGATATAATATTATAGATATACCTCTTGAACTGATAATATCATATTTGAATGGTACACAGCAATATGTTAGAATAAAAAAAAGATATTCAGAGTATTGAAAAAATGAATTGGGTGTCCCTCAGGGATACGTTGGTGGCCCGATGTTGTTTTTCATTTATGACATAGAAAAGCTACAAATTCCTGCATCTTTCACAATCTATGCGGACGATATATATCTCTTATCATCTGTGATCCACAAAAAAGTTCAATCGCAAGAGAATGTGAAAACGTGAAAAAGTATTATTGGTTGGTTTTCAGCAAACCATCGCTTTCTCAATATCAGCAAGACTCAGTGCTTGAGATTTCAGACTCCATAAAAATATAGAGAAGTTTCATTTGGTTCGCTCACAATTACCAACAACGTTTAAAATTTCTGAGACTACACATTGAAACTCCACTGTCACTCCGATTTCAATTATGCAAATTCCTTGATCCATTTTTTTTTTCGGTAGCAGCAAATCGTCGAAAACGCAAAACATTTCTAACTTTTATGCCTCTCACCAACAAACTAAACATGCAAAACAGCTGAAATTGTGAACATGTGTTCGAGACCAGTGTACCAACATAAAAAAGTCGACAATCGAATGGTCGTAGCCCGCGAAATTTGAACAGTCACCTCATTTTTTGAACAGTCGTATAATTCGTTCAATGCTGGCTCTCAACTATAAAACCTCATAAAAAGACTCCTTAAAAAATCTCAAAATTTCAACTTATTTTCTTTTGTTCTTTTCATATATTGGACATTTATAAGTAATTGTTCAGGAAAATAAACTCAACCTCCGATTAGAATACACAATTACGTTACCAATTACGCAAAATTACAGCTGTCCTCCAATTCCCCAAATCATATGGCACCGACTGCCAAGAATTATCAAGAGCAGTAATTCATTACTGATTGTCAAAAATCAACTTGAAGATTTTCTGGTTTATCATAACTTTTTTCGATAGATAATTTCATGAAAGAAAAATTTGGATTAGTAATTAATAACGGCACTACTTTTCACATATTGTTTGAGCCATTTTTATTACTATTGCTTTCAATCTTGCAGCTGCGACATTTTTTATACAGCTTATACTGCCTCAAGGAAATGGATGATATTCTATTCTATTTATTTTATTGGCTGTCAATAGTTGAGGTATAATTATAATGACACTTGTAATTTAAGGTTGTATGGCATAAAATGTTATGTTGCAGACAGTAATATTTCTTTCGATGAATCTGTTATTTCCAGTTGGGAGTGAAAATTTTTAGTCCACAAAATCTTGCACGCTGATTGAATCTCTTAATGACACATTCATCTTGTCTTATATAAGAGATCTTCACTATCTGCTGAAATTTTGTCGAAGTTGATAATAAACATCATCTACATGAAATACAACATTAAAGAACATTCGTTTTCGTATTTGTGACGCTTTCCAAACATATTTGAAACAGACAAACTAATATCCATTTGAAAGAATATCTAAAAAATTAGAGGATCATAACTTATCAAACATTTTTCATAAATGGTCTCAGCAGACCGTTCTTCATTTTGGGAAGACCAACGTATTTTCACTGAAAATCAACACATTTTTCAATAATAAGAAATTGATCCAAAAAAATGTAGCTGTAGAAATAAGATAAAAATTTTGATTTTTTTATCATCACACAAAGTACACGAAATTTTCGTTCATCTGAAATACCCACCTGTGTGGTAGCCCTAGATCATAATAAAGACAGTCCAGTTTGACGTATGGGAAAATAAGGGATTCCTTGATCTTTTCCCAAATGATCCTAGTCATCTCATCACCATCCATTTCGACAACAGGGTTTTTAGCTTCAATTCTCTTCGTAGCATCTGGAAAAACAGAAAAAGCATATCGTAAGCGATTATATATTAAAAGGATAATTATACAGATAAACCGATTTTTTTTATTATTTAATATTGGTTCATTCGCAAGCTACACGTGCTCACGGTCAATAATGACGTTGGAACGTTTATTATTTATTTGGAAAGTATGTGTAACAAGTATATAAATAGCATTCAATAAACATCAATAATTATGGATAGTAAATCCCATCAATTTGATAGGTTCAATTTGTAGTCTATAGTCTATATTAAATTCACGAAAAATCTTCCTCGTTGATTAATGAAAGTTCATATTGAAGCTACAACCTGAAATATGAAATGAAAACTTACAGTGGACGGTTGAATTATGAACAAATTTCAATATTTCACAAATACTGTACTTTCAACAAATATCCTGAACTATGTCGATTTATATATTTTTCCTACTATTCCTAAGAGCATTGTTTCCCAAGAGGAAAAGACAGATTCTATTGAAACGATGACAAAATATTTTGGAAAAACGCTCGGACATTTCGATTTTGAAAGGAGGAGATTGTCATAAGTCTCAACCACCTTATTCGCTACTGCATGTCCAGTACACAATGGGGAATGTTCCTCAATTTGGGTTATTACAGCAAATGCAATGCCACTTCCACAAGCCACATAACAACAGTTGTTTTGTTATTTATTTATATAGAGGTTGGTAGGTTAGGTGCACAATATGTCATATGTCACAGAATGTCTCGGAACTCGGAACATAAGTAAACAGAACAGCACGGCTCTGAAATATGTCATATTTGTTTGTCTCATATAGGTAACAGATTCATTGTCCTTTATTAGCTATAATCGATGTTGCCAAATGGTGAAATAGAAACGAATCCCTTTAAATGTTGAATGCATTATTTCAGTCCCCTTTTTTAAGTATTTAAATAATTTTTTTAAGAAAAAGGTTGAAATGATGAGTTTTAAATGCGTTGTTTTAGAGCTCTTTTATGAAAACTACTTGATTTTCGTCAGGAGGAACATTCCCCATTACATGGAAGACTTTGAACCAGATCCATTAACACGCCTGACCTCTAACTTTTTTGTTATATCACACCAAGGATTCGAAAGTCTCTATACATGCCTGACTCACATCAATTCTCTACACTCCGAAGTGAAATACACCATTGAAGACGAAATCCATTCCATTCCTGGATTTCCAATCCCAAAAACCCATCTAACTCCCGCAAACCCATACGCAAAGTAAGCCGAATTCTAAAAAGGTAGACACAAAAACAAACCATGTACCTAATGGTACATGGTTTGTAGAAAATTCCATGTTCCACCAGTTCTAGAACTTGCTTCGGCTAGACCAACAAACTAATCTTCAAACATCAGCTTGAAACAGACCAAATGAGATCAGAAAACACCAAATCCATTATCACCGTAAAAACTCCCCAGAAGAGGATAATTCGAGGAGATATTGATATCGCGATGACCAGTGACGAGACCTGGGGAGTAGACAGATTTGAGACCCCGGCGTCAAGCCACGAAACCCTAGAAAATGTGTTACTATCTAAATAGGCAGGTTGGGGCCTTATTGTAGCCACATTTCCAGACCGAAAATCCTTAGTCCACGCTTGGGAGTAGGCAGATTGGGATCCGTACGAAGACTATTGACCACGAAATCCTAAAAAATGTGTTACACACACATTTCCAGACCGAAGACCCTTATTCATAGCTTGGGAGTAGGCCTCAGAATAGCCACATTTCAGACGGAGATCCTCAGGCAGATTGAGACTTGCGCCAATACTAGTGACAAGACCTGGGGAGTAGGCACATTTGAGATCCCGGCGTCAAGTCATCAAACTCTAGACAATGTGTTACTATCTGAGTAGTAGGCAGACTGAGGCCTCAGTTTAGCCACATTTTCAGACCGTAGATCCTGTCCACGCTAGGGAGCAGGCAGATTGAGACCCACATGAAGACTAGTGACGAGGCCGGAGGAGTAGGCACACTTTAGACCCCGGCGTCAAGTCACCAAACCCTTGAAAATGTGTAACTATCTGTGTAGTGGATATATTGTTGCCTTAGTATAGCCACATTTTCAAATCGAAAACCCTTAGTCCTTGCTTTGTAGGCAAATTGAGACCCCGGCTTCAAGACACAAAACCCTAAAAGTGTGTTACTGCCAAAGGAGTAGGCAGATGGGGGCCTCAGTGTAGCCACATTTTCAGATCGAAGATCATCAGTCCACGCTTGACAGGTGGCACATTGAGATTCGCGGGTTGGGGAGAAGGTGTCAAGTCACGAAACCTCACAAGTGTGTGACTATACTTCGATTATTTTAACTTTACCGATGCGTCATCAATTTATGATCATAGAAATCACACACCCTCTCTATAACATCTCTTTCTATCAACCGCTATGAACAGATGACAATTCGTTAACATGTGTCTTCTAATCAAAGACTTATGTTATAGTGATGATCAATTAATACTCATAACAGTGGAAAAAGATAACCAGACAGCCGACAGTGTTTTACAATTTACCTACATTTGCCAGACATGATAGTGACAGTTGACAGTAACATTGTTTTATGTTATTGTATTGTTTTCGTCAGTTTTACAGTGTCTCTGCATCCATGCACGGATGATTTAATGAAAACTCGTTTGTTAATATTAATGTCTGCAAATGTTTTGGAAACATTGCAATGCCACCTTTTTCGTTAACTGTTACATCTACATAAAAACTAACTTTTGAGGTTGTTAGGATCCGACATTTCCATAAATTTGAAAATGTTAATTTATTGTCATTACCTACACGTTATAATTTTTATCGGGATATTAGCCACTTCGTCTTACATTTGACCACAATTTCGCGATTTATTTCATATGCACATCAACGATGAAGTATCGGTAAAGTTAAAATAATCGAAGTGTACCTGAGCAGTAGGCAGACTAAAGCCACATTTTCAGCCTAATATCCCCCAGCCCTCGCTTAGAGTAAGTAGATTGAGACCAAACCTGGGGAGTAAGCAGATTGAGACACTAAATAAATAGTAAATATTTTCGTTATTTTTTTAAACCTTTTTTACTCTGTCACATTTTTTGAGTTGTGGTTTCATTTTGCAAACTGACAGCAATAACAATCTCTTTGTACAGTGTTTGGTTGTCATGGAAACGCCGGCAAACGTTTTCATGGCCTAAGTAAATGTTGCGCGCTTATCATCGACATCGCGTATTCAACATGGAAACTGTACCGTTTCAATTTGACATGCAACAATTCATAGCTGCCTTGGGTTATCATATAACCAAGAAATTTTTTTTCTCACTATAATACAGAATTGAGAAATTCTAAGTTCTGGACATACAGAAGCGATGAGAGAAGTGGAACATTGAAATATATCAAAAATGCAATGAGATATTTCCTAGATTCATATCAAAATTTGACACATGCCAAATTTTTACATAAATAAAGACTGTCTGATTAGAAACACGCTCCACTCTACTTGATATTCCGATATTTTCAACAAATTGTTAGAAAATTACTAATGCCAAAATCAAAATTGTTTATATATCAATGTTAGTAGTGACAAAAATTCTATATATACCTACCTTGGCTGAGAAAACTATTATTTACCTCGCATATTATATCCCTCGGCGCTACGCGCCTCAGGATATAAACATGCTCGGTAAATAATAGCTCACTTCTCACCCTAGGTATATAATATACTATTTTAATATTTGTAAAATTTTGTAATCCCTTATGTATTTTCAAATAAAATTCATTTTTTTTTCATGTAAACCACGGAATACCGTCACAACAGGGTGTGGCCGTAGGCACCAATTCCACACGACTTTATGAAAAAGACGGACTGACCTTTCTATTTTACTTCATCTTACTTCAATAATGTAGAGTTCAAAATACATATCTACGCCACTGGCTCACGAATATTTGGTATCTATCTGTGGATGTTTATATCGTTCTTGGTGCTATCAACTTCCCGGAGATTAAAAACAAACAATTTGTGAGGGTGATGATACGATTTTTCTCAATCGTACGAGAACTATGAACTCTTGGAAAATACAAACAAGTAGATCTCTCAAACGATAAATTGTTTTCTTCGAAACCCGTTATTTTCAATGACCTAGACATCAGGTCACTTTATGTTATGTTGGTGTTTCCAGACGTGTTTTCATATTCATAGGTCGTTGATATTTCTTGTGTTAGCCATTTCTAACGTACAATCTACTAAAAATACTTTTCTCGTCCCAGAACAGAACTTCCGATATAATATCTGCAAGTCTGACTTTGGGTAATCATTCCACTGAATATTTTTTATGATAGGATGCTTTTTCCTTCCTTAAATTTGAGGAAACATTGAATGATACGTCACAGCATAGATTATACGTGCTTCAAAGTTACCCTAAATATTTCTCCGTCAAATTGGACATGTCATAATTGAACTACGAGAACATATCAAGCAATCTGAAGAACTTAAACGTGGAATGGTAACTCCAATTTATAAAAAGGACAATCCTCTCTCAATGGATAACTATAGGCAAATGACTGTACCCAGCATTATAAGCAAAATAATTGAGAGAGCTATGTACAATAGACTGATACCTTACCTTGACGAACATAAAATATATAAGGACTCACAAAACGGGTTCTATCCTGGGAGGATCTACTGAGACATCTATTTGTACATTTGTTGAGTACATCTATAAATATTTCGATATAAAAAAAACTTTTCTCGATCTCACGAAAGCTTTTGATTGTCTAGACCTAAATCATACTGAAACCAAACTGTACTCACTAGGAATTCGTGGAAATATATTGAAGTGGTTCATGTCATTTTTGAGGCACAGAAAAATTATTGTGGAACTCAATGGAGCACGATCTGAATTGCATAACATCAATCTAGGAGTACCACAAGGATCTGTACTGGGCCCACTGATTTTCCTTATGCCCATCAATGATCTGCCAGAGTACATGAATGCCGATTGCCTAGTATTAATCTG